GAAATTCTTCTTGTCGTTTCTCCGTAAAATGCCAGGATTCTCTAGCTTGTTGAAATCACGTCAGTAGATTCCCAACCTGAGCGGGTGGTCTCCGCAGCTCCTCAAGAGTCATCGCTGCTTCTTTGACAGACGCTCTCCTCGGCCGTGTGTTGGGAGGTTTTACTCTTCCTGTTTTCACATCGGGCTGAACATGACACGCCGAGAGATTTGAAATGTTTGGGGTGTTGTTTTATAACTCAGCATTTCTCTGAGCACTTCTATTGTGAAGGTAAAGGAACATGGGAGATGGGACCATGCGTAATGAAGTTGCACACATTGCAGACGTAGGCACACTCAGTTAGTCCTAGTAAAAAAAAACATGAATATAGATGGAAATTTCAGGTTTTATTTGTTAAAAACATTAAAATCATCTTCCCTTTTCCTTCTATTTCACTCACTTCATGAGCTATTTTATTCAGTCACATAAAATGCAATAAAATACGGTATTTTTAGGGCAAGTGGTTGTAACGTAGCAGAAACAAAAAAGTTTAAGTTTTCCAGCCGTAAGACACCATTCCTTAAAATGGACTATCCGTCTGTCCGTCCATCCATCCGTTCCAGTGTCACCTGGAGGTGAAGCTCCATCCACCAAGTGAGTTGCTCTCATTGGCTTGGTAATTTATTGATGTTTTCCTCTCCTGTGGGATAATCGGAGTACGAACTACTGATGGATCTGGCAACACGGAGCATGTCTGTCTTCACAGCGCCGACCGCAGACGACGGTCAGTCAGGGGCCGTGAGAGTGACGCTACAACGAGACCGACAGACTCTTCAGTGTCATGTCTGATAATTAGACAGGCCTCGTATAAGACTGTATCAGTGTCTAGTTAATGTGAAGGACAGAGTGATGGGGTTTTTGTCGACGCTCATTGACGGCGGAGTATTTCATCCAGTTCACCTTGACACATCGGTCGCTGAATCAGGATGAACTTGTTGGCGCCAAGTCATTTGGTCCAGTTTCTAGTGCAAATATCTTATTACATTTGAAATAAGACTAAACTAACTTACAAGAAACTTTTCAGCAACACATAGGAGCTGATTTTAAGTGAATAATTCCTTAAAATTGATGAAAAAGCGCTAGCTTCATTGGTGGATGAATGAATTTGAACCATGGGAAAAATGTTTTGTTCTAAGTTAAATAATTTGCCATCGGAGCTAGTACTTTGTCAAAAATATTAAGCAATTATTTACCTAAAACAAGCCTCTATAGCTTGCTTAAAAAAAGTACTTGTAAATAAAGTTTGCTAAGACATTTGCACCAGAAAGAACTCCAGAATTACTCATTGAGATTTTGCATTTTTGCAGTGGCTTGAGTCGAACGCTGGAGAAAATATGTCTGCAGTTCTCCTACATCATGTAATTACCGTGAGTGAAAAACGACAAGATGTGCAGAAATGCATTAGGATAGCAGCCATTCACAAAGTTAACGTCGCATGCATAAATAATATATCAGCATGTGACGAAGTACCTGACAAAAACCGGATTATGTCTGAGGATCTGATAAGGGCGGTAAGCCGAGAGGCCTCGGATCGTCGGAGTAAACATTAGTCGATGGCTGCTGTATCCCAATGAAGGTAAAATAGAACATTCTAGGAACGTTTCCCTCCTCCGGGTTCGGCTGATGCGACTTTGACAAGGAGTGTGGTTTATCGGTGGGCGTCGGTTCACCTCTAGCTGCTAATTTTAAGCCCTGCCCCAGTGTGTGTTCTCCGTCTCTAACGGTGTGGGGCTCTTGACCTCGTGTGGCTGCATCCAGCATGTCACAGGTCCCTGACACGTGGCCCCTCTCCCCTCCATTAAATGACACCTGATCCCGTGGAGGCTTTCACCGATGACAGTGAATGAGCGCAGGAAATGGGCTCACAATGGCTCTCACCGTGAACCCAGTGAGGCAGAGCCGTTGAAAGGCATTTATGAAGAGCCCTCTAGTCTTTCTCTTTACCATTGCAAAGTGGATATAAGAGATGTTACCGATAGTGGCTTAATTACACGGCTTTGCTGGAATAGTTTTTTATATAAATGTGAAGGAGAAGAAGCAAACGGCTTTAATTTCAGCCTGCAGTTTTCAATCGATAACCTAATAGGGAAAAAGACGTCTCCTCATTTCCATGCAGGAAAATAAAACTTTGTGCTTCTAAGTAGGTCTTTTAGTTTTGTGTGTTTGAGCCTCTCGCTCTGCTTTCTCGTCTCGGTGGGAAATCTGCACATCTGTCTGCTCAGCGAACACAGAGGGAGCTGCTTCCAGACGCAGCGGGGCGGCCGCAGCCTGGGAAGCCAAACAGATGTGAGCTGCTGCCAAACATCCTCCCAGTCTCTCCTTCACCTTCTCGAGTCGAGACGAGGTTTCAGTCTTTCTTAGGAGCACGTACAAGCAAACCTGCAACTGGGGGAAATTAAACGTTGCACTTAAAATGGGGGATCTTTTGCTTATCGGTGTGTGTCAGTGAGAACCAAACGTGTATGATGTGTGTGTGATACGTCTGCGTCTATTCTTAAAAGTTTGCGTGAACTGATACCAATGAGATGCACTTCACAGAGGCCTGATGCATCATGTCTGGGAGCATTACTTTTCCATCACGGTCTCATTTTATGTTTCATTTTTATGGTTTTTTTCATGGCAATGCCCCCCCAAAAAACCCAAATCCATTAAATTTCTGTTTTGTGACTGCCAAAACAGACTTTTTTTTTTCTTTTGTGTTACCTCACAATAACATACTGATCAGTTTATGCGGCATCATTGAATACTGAAAGTCTTTCTTATGGTGGACATCATATTTTCTGCTTTAATATAAGGTTTTTCATGTGCAGTTCCACCTCAACCTGACACAAAAAACACAAACATGCAGTCAATAAATTGATTTCCAATCAGTTTTTTGTACCAAAGAGTTAATAATATGTAGGGTTAGGATTTTCACTGAGGCTCTTTAAATATGTATATATTTTAAACTTGTGACTGCATAGAAAATAGACCAGGGTGTATTTACTTATTGTGAGGGAACGCAAAAGAAGAAATTTTCCCCATGTCCTCTAGGGGGCCCCGTACTCTAGAGGTTATATCTATGAGGCAGATTAATCCCAGTCATGAATGCCTTGAGTTTCACTTTCAGGTTCAACCAGCCTTGATGTTAAGAAATTTCATTATTTTTGTTGTTGTTAGGGTTATTGTTTAGGTTTCAGTTGTGTTTTTTGCAACAGAAATAGATTTTTAAAAACATCTGTTACAACCTGGTGATCAAAATGTGTATGACATAGTGCAAAATTATTCACTATTATTATTATGTCTCCCAATGCCTCTAAAACGTACAGCAGGTGTGCAGTAGCTCGACATGCGTGTAAGATCGAGCTTCTCTGCAACCAAATATCTCATGTGATGTGAAACAAACAAAAATGTGTAACTTCGCCCTCCTAGCGCTCTCTGGTAAATGTAGCGGAGGACCTGTGGTGCTGTGGGCCGATTTGTCTTTCAGACGTCCAACAACTTGATGACCCGATGACTAGTGGAGGGAGGCGCCAGCCCCCTCTGCGACCTCGCCAGCATCAGCGCGTTAGATAATGGATGGATGAACGAAGATCCGATAAGTCTCTTTGGACCTTGTGCCGTTGCAGCTGATTAACCGATTTAAAACACATAACCTGATCAATACGAAGGTGGATCATCACCTCAGTCAAAATACAGAAAACCATTCCAAGAACTGAAAAGACCTTTAGAGGTAATGACTCTGAGCAGGCAGACAGAAGAGGAGTGGTGACCGATCTTCGTTTTTCTGTCGCTCTGCCTCTCCTGTCTCTGTTTTGAGTCCAAAACGTAGCAAAACCAAAAGCTAGAGACAACATTTCCCTTCTTCTTCCCAGAGTTTATTTGTGATATCAACCCTGTAACTTCGGAGTTAAATGAAATTTCCACTTCCATAATGAAAAACTGATATTAATTTCAGATGTCTTTGAACTTTCAAGCCAAAAAAGAAAAAACACATTACAAGTTCAACATAACTCCACCAACAAAGAGAGCTGTCGGATTGTTTCTCGGGGTTTGTTTTTTTTTTTACCCCCAGAGACCTAAAACTGTGCCGACAAGCCTCGTTTGACCCCAGAGAAGCCTGACAAGAAAGAAATGAAACTGTCCAGGCAGGAAAACCAAATGAGAGAGATGAAACGGCAAGCACAAAACCCGAGTCCGTCTAAACGTCACTTCAACCAGTGTTTCCGTCCTCAAAGAGCAGTTTGGCAGCCGCCACTTTCGACAAAGTGATTAAGTGGCCTCGCTGTGGCATAAATGGGATTTCAGGCGTCTGCAGCCATTCTCCGGTCCAAAGCTTCATTTCACCGACTCTCAGCTCCCCTGCTAGGTTCAGTAATGGAGCTTTAAATCCTCTCTGTTGTTGGGCCCTCGGTCGCCGCGCCACCGGGTCGATGGCAACGTCTCGTGCCACGTTGTTGATAAGGCTTCTCTTTGTGACTGGAAATGGCGCTGATTATTATTACTATTTTTTTTTTTCCTTTCTGCGCATCGACAATGCAACTCCTCAGTTGTTCTGTATGCCTCTCTCTCCTCAAAGAAACTCTTCACTGCTAAACAAATTTATCGACCTAAATGCTTTTTCTTTCAGACAGACTTTCTTTGAGGGTGCTGTTGCCTACTTGTTTCAAGTTGTCATGCATTAGTGCAGAGTTTTTTTCCTTCTTTTTTTTATTTCTTTTTTTCATCTGGACATGTAGAAATAATCCCTTAAGAGAAAACAGTGGATGAAGAAAAAAACGGGTAAATCGAATAAGAGTTGGGAGAGTGTGTGGTTGTTGAGGAGGGAGAAGCATTTAACTGTGTTTTATATTTTATAACCTGTATTTCTGACAGTTCGACACAGCGTCTGTAAACACTTGGGGTGCGTTAATTTACCACGTGGATGATAATTGGCTTCGCCTCATTTGACTGGTTCTCATTGTGCTCTGTCGTTTCCTTGCAGAGGCCTTCGACCTGGTGCTGCGTCATGGCCGTAACTCCACCCTGACCGTGCTGAAGTCGGAGTTCCCGGCTCTCGTCCCTGGAGCCCAGAGCTCCGTGGGGCAGCTCTTCCTGGACATGTCGCTCTACATCCTCGGCTCCGACTCCACGGTGGACCACATGGTGGCGGCGTTCTTCGGCAAACTCTTTCCCCTCACGTACCGCCGGCTGCTGGGTGGCGGTGCGTCCGCCGCGTCTGAGGAGTGCGTGCGGGGAGCCTGGAAGGACTCCGGAGCGTTTGGGCCTTACCCCAAGCTGATCATGACCCGGCTGTCTCGCTCCCTCCTGGCCACAAGGGTCTTCCTGCAGGCGCTCAACCTGGGCATAGAGGTGGTCAACACCACGGACCATCTGCGGCCCAGCAGGGACTGCGGCCGGGCCCTGCTGAGGCTGTGGTACTGCCCGCACTGCCAGGGCATGCTCAGCCCGCCAGCCTGCAGAGGCTTCTGCCAGACGGCGATGCAGGGCTGCCTGGGGGGCGCCGCCGAGGTTCAGCCCCACTGGAGGAGCTACATTGACGGACTGGGGAAGCTGGCAGGGGGCATGAGAGGGGAGCAGGATATGGAGGCCGTCGTTCTCAGGCTGCCGTCGCTGATTAAGCTGGCTCTGAAGCAGGCTGTGAACGCCCGCAGCCGGCTCAGCGCCCTGGTGAGCATCATTCACCAACACACACTAGTGAGCCGTCACACTGACAGCAGCTCTGACTAGGAGGGACATTCCCACAGGTTCTCATTTACATCAACATTATCCTCAAAACTTAACTGTTCTTCTGGCTTTTGTTATAACGTCAACCACTGAAAATACTTGGGCTCATTATAAACTGGGGTTTGAAAACCAAATGTGTGTCACAGTGATGGATTCAGCCTCAGTTAGTGGGGGTGCACCAGGATTTCCTCAATTTTGGGAAATCTGTGATCGGCCCGATACTCTGAAGCCTATCTTATCTACAACTCAACCACTGTCCTCTTCTGCTCTGCCGGGAGAGATGGTCGACTGACAGACCGGCGCATCAGCTAATATCTGCACATTTGTAGTTAACAGTCACCTCACTGTGGCCAACTCAGTGACTTTGTATATTTAACAACATTTCAGACAAAAAATTCAGAATTGGCCAACGTTGGTATCGGCAGATCAGGCTTCTTACAGATCAGTAATCTGTGCACCAATAGGTTTGTTCTGTTTGCTGAAACCCCAGAATGTTATTCTATACATTCAATTTCTATTCCCATCCGACCCTTGCTGGGTGGCAGTGGTGACCTTGACAGTCCAGTATCCCTCTGAAGACAGACACCAGCAGTCAGGGACACCAGACAGCACAGATACAAACAGTACTAACAACCATGAACACACACATACACACACACACCTGAAGGCAATCAAGACTTGAACAAAGGACCTGCTACAAGGTAAAAGCGCTAGCTACTTCAAAGCGACTCTAGAAATATAATTCAATAATAATAACAATGCTACACAGGTTTTCTAAAGCCCTTCCAATCAAAACAGACAGAAATACTTTTCTTTACTCAATCAAGGGCTTTGACAACAACATAACTCAATACGTGCTGCTTTTATGTGATAGATGGCATTGTTGAAGCCACAGATTGAAAGAAATGTTGCCGTGTTCCTCATTTGGTTTTTTATGAAAGTGTTTGACACGGTTGACCACAACACACTGGATAACACACTGCATCCCACTGGCTGGCCAGCAAGTTAGTTTCCACTTTATCAGGTCAAATATGGTGAGTCACATGTTTTTTCTCCCATCATGCACTGGAGTTGCTCAGAGCTTGACATTAGGACCTCTCTTCTTCACGGTCCATATAAACTGTCCTTTTTTTAAGTTGACATGTTTTTATCGTTTCTCTTTTGAAGTTCAAACTCCCGATTTGCTTCGGCATGTCTAGGTTGTTCAGTCTAACCTAAGACAACATATATTAGAGCTACAGACGTGCAAGAAGAAGTTTCTGATCTCAAATGTGAAAGGGACTCACTGTGAAACTCTGAGATCTTATATCATCTTACCTGTCATTATTTTAGAAGCTGAAACTTGATCCCCCCACTCCGAAGCAGGGTTCCCCTCAGTATATTATAAGCCTGGTGGGCCACCAGGCTTTACTTATGCCCCCACCAGGCTTGGCATTGTTAATGTATCTTAGTTTTTTGTAATTGCTGCAATTTTTAAAGATTTTATTGTTTGTGTTTAGGCATTAATCTTGCAATCTTCCAATAATGCATAGCTATCAGGTGAATTTTTCCTGTCAACTTTAAAAAAAATTTAAGACAAAAACACGACTGGCAGCTGGATAAATGACTGCCCTAACATCCTGAGCACCGCGCTCAGCAGGTTTTCTGGGGGAAACACATCTGAAGTACCTTTTTTCTCTCTCCAGATTAGCATTTTGCATTTTTCTTTGTTTATAGTGAACTGCTGTTTGAACCAGACCTGCACTTAACCATCACTGTGCTATTGCTAGCTGGCATTGCTAGCTGTGGAAATGACGCACTTTACAAATCTCTGTATGCCGCAGCTAAATATCCATCTTTGTGTGTCTGTAGACTTTTTTCATGTGTGTTTATACGAGCCAGAGTTCAGTCTGAACCAAACTAGAAAGAGGTTCTTTCAAATATGCAGCTGCTCTTTTACTGAAATAATTTACAAAAGGACCTGAAGCTGTCAGAACTGGTTTCCATGGGGAAGACTTTTTAAGCCTTTTTAATGAAGCAACAGAATATTTTTACTCGGTAAGTGTAATGTTGCTAATTTTATTCATTCAGCTTTGTTTTTACACTTGCCTTAGCCATTCAATTATTTATGCAGAAAATCAGATCTACTGCTTCTCCAGTAGATAGATACGCTTTATTGTCTGTACCAGATGAGAAAGAAATTCTCCTTTGACACGGTTTCATTACAACATAAACATCAATAGGAATATGACTAGAAAATTAACCCACATTCGATGATAAGTAATTGAAGAACCAGATAAGGCACAGTAATCATCATAGTCATATTTGAGAACTATAATTAGCCGTTTTGAAAATCTTTTTCTCCAGTCTTCCTGATGTGCTTGATCATTATTCATTACTTGTATTGTAGTTTTAGAATGTGTAAGAGTTAACACAAACATGAAGAACAGAGTAATAGAAGTTAGCATAGTTAGCACAGCTAGCACCTAAATGAAGCACTGACAAATCTGAACATATAGAGCAAAGTTCAGTTTAAAAACGTAATTGACATTGAAATAAGTTTAAAGTGGCAGTGTCCCCTTTGAAAAGTTTCGCTGGTTTTGCAGCCTGGGAGCAGTCGGGATTATCAATCTACGCATTCATTGATCGGAAAAAGATCTGATTTTAGGTATTTCTAACCGGCTGATCGCACAACGGAGCCGATGGATGGAAAAATCGGTTGTTTCAAATCAAAACTCAATTTCTTGTCACTCATAATCAAAGATAAACAAATACAAATAGAGTGACAAAAAGAAAAAAAACTACTTATGCATGATTAGGATCCAAGTCATTTAAAGTTATGTGGTAGTAAAATACGTGGAGGAATAGAGAGAGAGTTTCGGGAATCATAATTCAGGATGGGTTGTGATCCAGGAGCATTTTGGAGAGAAGATAGTAAACATGCAACGTGCTCATTAATTGGTGTTCTGGTGAACTTGCGAGCAGTGGTAGCCTGAGCTAATAGAAGCTTATTAATAGCTTTTGTGTGGCAAACCACAGAGAAGAGAATTACAGTAATCGGAGCAGCAGTGCTGCCGGGTGTGAGCATTTCCCCAAGACAATCGATGAAAGTGGAAAGAACAGGGGGCAAATATCGGCGTCTTTTCAAAACAAGGAAATGCCGTCAGGTTTAAGGAGATATTTGGCAATCTGACTCTAAGGGTGGATTCGCACCAGCCCTGTTTGGTCTGTTTTAATCAAACTCTAGTTCACTTGCCTAGAAATAGAAAGTCTGGTTTGTTTGGGACGGTGTGAATGTGCAATCAAACTCTGATGTGAACCAAAAAGTGAACTCTGGTCCGCCTACAATGCTTGGTCTCGGTTAAATTGAAGGGAACTCTGGTCCTAAAGCGGAAACCGCTTTGGGAGCGGAAACCGCTATAACAGCTTTGTTTCAGTTGGGTTGATACAGCTAAAACAAACATTAGCTCTTTGTATCGCTAACAGGAGAAATGGCTCTTGGTCTTTCACCAAAGACATTAGAGAAATCCTACAACCACTAAAATCTGACAATACTCCACTTCTGTTTTACGTTCTGTGAAGAAGGAAGTTGCACTTCTTCTGAGGATTTCTTGTCATTTCCTTCAGTGGTTCTTGATGCAGCGCAGGCGAGGAGGGGAACAGGTTTTTAAATTAGTTTGGATTGTCTGACACAGTGCATTGTGAAAGCAAATCGCACCAACTAAAAATGTAACAAACGTTGCAATTTTGGTCCAGAATTAAACTGAGCCTACTGGACCGTAAGGAGTGAAAACACCCTAAATCTCTGCAGAAGAGAACCAGACGAAGAAATCACGTAAAACATGTTCATAACCCGACGGCTGCTCGTCCCCGCAGCATTGATCAGACGCATTTTTAGTTTATCCAACATATATGAAGTATTTGCAACGCGTTACATTACCACACCTAAGCCTTTGAGATGTAAAAACACATGAAAGAACCATAAAAAACAGGTAAAAGATAAAAAAAAAGAATCCCTCTAGTTGTTTCTACAGACAAGTTCTCCCAGCATGTCTTGTTCAAATCTGTCTGTTACTCATAAGCGGCAGTGACCCGTAATGTGCAGTGTGATAAAACTCTCAGCGTAGTTCGCAGCCCTCATGCGAAGGCGGAGAGGCGAGCTCATAAAATATGAAGGGCCTTGTTTCCTTCTGGAGCCGCAGAGCTTGGATGTGCTCCTCGCTCCTGTATATTTGCTGAACTTTTCACTCTCGCGCCCCGAATCCCCGCGGTGGCCAGGTTTCCACTCAGAAGCCATCATTTATTAACACACAGGTTGACCTCACTTACTCTGCAGCAGGAGGGAGCGCTTGTATCTGTGAGTAGCAGACCATGGCGGGGCTGTTTAGCCTGCTGTTTGGGACTCTCATTTAAATTTAAACCAGTTTGACGTGCGCGTCTGTTCGACTGCGCGGCGGACTTCACGTTTCGTTTGTGGAGTCTGTCTGCTTCCTGTTTGAGGTTTGAATGTAACCACTTGGTGTCATTCGAGGGGACAGAGGCGTTGTTTTCCTGCTGGCTAATTTTGCCTCACCGAGCCGCAGGAGATGAGCCAAAATTCGACCACACCTGGATGTTTCTCCGCAGTCGACCTGTTCATCGAGACGGTCTGAGCAAACCTGAAGCTGACGAGGACCTGCGGATATGTAAACAAGCTCTTACAGAAACGTCACTCTTTGTTTTTTTGTTTTATTAGCGGTTTGTAGCAGTGGAGGAATGTAGTTTTGTTAAAAAGAAAGAAAAGGTAGAGGAACTACAGCTCACCCTCTTGTGGTGGCTGAGGGAAATCACAACTTTACATTAGCAGCAGCTTTATTTTAAAAATGAGATTTTCATTAAGCAAAGGTGCTAGCAAAACATGCTATCGGCAGCTCTGTTCAGTTCAAGGACAGAAATGACAACAAAACAGATGAAAATGAATCTCC